CCGGGTCTCTGGACTACTCCATTGCACAGCTGGGAACATATACAGATGCCCCCACTGGGGACCTTTATGTCTTTCTGGGCACTGAGCACTGCCCCAAGAGGTACAGATGCTGCTCCCCGCCCCCCAATCACGCTGAGCTGGTTGCACGGTTCACAGGGGACACCTCTGGCTCTGGCCCCCACTGTACGATTGTGATGCCCTCTAGGAAGCCAGGGGGGGCACTCTCACTGACCATTGGGGGGCAAGTGGCAGAATTGGGGTCTGAACCCCGCTCACCCTGACGCAAAGCCTGCTGCTCCCAGGCTGCCCTCCCGGTGCCCCAGCACCCCTGACACTGCCCCTGCCGCCCGCACAGGCTCTGCATCTGGCCCCACTGGCGTCCGTCTCCCCCTGGTGCTCACCCTGACAGTGGTCCTGGAGCTGACGTGAAGGCGCCGCCTGCTTCTCCACGCTCCTCTGGCACTGACATCTCTGCGACTGGTTTTCATTTCTTTTCTAAACAATTTCCAGTCTTGTTCTTAGTCTCTTTCTGTCTGTGTCTTGGCTTCTTCAGTCCATTTAATTAAAACAAACAGACCAATTTTCCCCACCGTGATGCGTGGCTCTGTGTTCTTCCTTCGTTTTGTAGCAGGCAGTGGGTGAACCTGCTGGCATCCTGGGCCACTGAGGGGATGATGAAGGAGACAGAGCCTGGGATTCCCGAGGAACGGCAGATGTGTGGCTCACGTCTCACTCACATCCTAACAGCAAGGGGTAGAAGTGGCCAGGAGCTCTCAGGAACTCCCAAATCCTTCAGAGATAAGTGTAATAGTCAGATATTGCCATAGTAATGCTGCATAACAAAGCAGCCCAAATCCCAATGGCAGGCAACCAGTGTTGGTAGTTACATTTAGGTTGAAGTAGCTCAGCTACCCACCATGGGTTGGTTTGTTCCATGGGTGTTTGTTTTGGAGCCCAGGCTAAAGGGCCAGTGGCTACCTGATATGTGATCCTTTTATGGTATGTATTAGTCAGCTTTTCATCACTATTACAAAATACCCAAGATAATTAACTTATAAAGGAAAAGGTTTATTTGAGCTCGTGGCCTCATCACTTTTGGGCCTCTGATGAGGAAAAACCACTTACATCACAAGTCAGGGAGCAAATAAAGAAGAAGAAAAGCCGGGCATGGTGGCACACGCCAGTAATCCCAGCACTCGGGAGGCTGAGGCAGGAGGATTGCTGTGAGTTCGAGACTAGCCTGGGTTCCAGGTCAGTCTTAACTACATAGTGAGACCCTGTCTCAAAAAAACAAAAAAGAAGAAGAAGAAGGAAAGACCTGGGTCCCACAATCCCAGTTGAGGCCACACCCCCAATGACCTAAGCACCTCCCACTAGGCCCCACCTCTTGAAAGGTTTCACTACCTTCCGGAAAAGCCAGATATTAACACGTGGGCCTTTGGGGACATTTGGTATCCGAACAATAGCATGGTGGATCATCAGAGCTGGAGAAGAAACCCAGAGTATGCAAACCATTTAAATTGTGCCTGTGTCACGTCCAGGAACAACTCCTTTCACCAAGCACACCACTTGGCCACAGCCAACATCAGTCAAGAGAGCACATAAATCAGTGGTACAGGTTTCCAGGAAATTTCACTCAATCACTAGAAGATTCCATGTGCCATCTGGGTGTCAGCTCAAAGGAAGGACTCAGAGCCCTTGGGGGCATGGAGTTGGCCTCTCCCAGTTGTGGCCAAGACTTGAGAAGCACAGAGAGACACCTGGGAGGTTCCATTCATCTGTGTAGGGCAGGGATGGCAAACACTTTAGAGACCGAGTTCCCAAACTGCCACCCAGAACCCACTTATATATTGCAAAGTGCCAACACTGCAATGAAACCTGAACACCGAGGTTTTAGTTTAGAAAAAGACAACACATACATTAATATCTTCTGTCATAAAAGAAAAACAAGACGTGTGCCACAGATTCACCACCACTGGGTAGAGAGGAAGCTACACAGCAATAACATATTAATCCCTGCGTCTTACACTGGATTAACACAATAAAGATTTTTTTTGGGGGGGGG